GGGAACCAGGGGAAAACTTTTATAAGGTGTTCACAGATGCAAGACAAAGAAAATATTTGATTAGTTAAAATGGCAAGTCCCTACTGGAGGTTAATTGGCTATTTCTGATTGGTTAAGCTTGAATTTGGTTTTCCTAGACTGTGACCATTCACTCTGAGTTGGGTTTCAGGTTGCTTATGTAGGAACCCAGGCTCTGGAGGCCTAATGGCCTCCCAATTAATATTTTAAACACGTGGTATACTTTACAGTCTGCTGGGAGAGCTGGAGGTTTGTCAGCCAGTCACACAAATCAATCCCAAATCCACCTGGTTAGAGTGCAGTAGTTGTTGCTTATGTAGGAACCCAGGCTCTGGAGGCCTAATGGCCTCCCAATTAATATTTTAAACACATGGTGTACTTTACAGTCTGCTGGGAGAGTTGGAGGTTTGTCAGCCAGTCACACAAATCAATCCCAAATCCACCTGGTTAGAGTGCAGTAGTGCTGAAGGGCCCTCTGAGAGCATCAGAACCAGGTGGCCAGGAACTGGATCTGAGGAAGAGCAAGAACAAATGCAACCAAGAGGAAAGTTACCAGCTTTTTTGGAGAGAATCAGAATGCGCAAAGGTCCTGGGGCAGTAGTGAGTAATTACAAGGAGTGATAAGGTCAAAATAGGACATTCAGAAAGTTCTGTCCATTTGGTTTTAACTGCATTGGTGGGTCTAGACAAGCTCGTCAGGATCTGCCTTCTGTGTGTTGCAGGGACTTTAAAGGGATCGTCCTGAGCCTCCTCTGGGAGAGCAATGACCACCTGCTGACTGTCATGGAGGTGAGGACCACCACCCACAGGCCTGTGCCCACCCTGGAAGCACATCCCCAGCTGCTTCTGCCTTCTGCAGTCTGCTGATCATGGCCACTTGGGGCTGTGGGGGTGGGCACCTGGCATACCCACACAGTGGTGCATGTACAGTCTCTCCTGTCTGCCGGCCACTGGGCTGGGAGTCCTGCAGGGCAGAGGCTCCAGCTCATTCATCTTTCTGGCCTTTACCCAGCTTGGTGATACCTATAAGCTCCCAACCTGGTCACCAATTTGAGATTCCACGGATTTGTGTCTTGAAAGATAAACAGGATTTTGCCGTTTATTCACTCAAAAAATAACAAGGGCCAGCCATGGCCTTGGGTCACACGAGGTGGGCTCTGGGATATGGATGGAGGTAGCAAGGGCAGACGGGGAGGATGAGTGTCCCCAGCATCGGGGGTGGTACGAGCAAGGCTAGGATGTGTGGAGACAAGAGTGGGCTGGTGGATCCCAGGAGCAAGGGCCAGCATCCCATGGGGAGAGTTCTCACCCACAAACAGTCAACCCTCTCTGGCAGGATTTTTACCGCAAAGAGAAGCACCCCGTCACCAGGCCTGACTGCATGTATGAAACCTTTGACCAGTGCGCTGAGAACGTCGGCAAGAAGATCCTGGAGTACCAGAGCCAGACAGACGAGTACCACAACTCCTGCCTCATGGGTGGGTGCAGGCCACCGGTGGGCAGGGGGGACACAGCGTGGCCTGAAGCCGTGACCACACTTGGCCTTACTGCCTGGATCCTGTTGTCCTTACTTACAGGTCACTGGGGAGGCAGAGGAGCCTCTTGTGAAAAGCCAACCTCCTAGAATTTGATAAAAATAATGATAAAATTTAACTGGGGAGAAAAAACAATGGGGAAAAAAGTTGACTTTTCTTGAGAAATATGGTAATTGATACCACTAAAAATATTTTGTTTCTTCCACGGAAGTTTTTGCCAGCTTTACTGGGATATTTGCACACCACACAATTCATGAAGTGTACAATTCGATGGTTTTGTGCAGTCCTCACCCCCATCAATTTTTAAGCCCCCATCCCTCATCCCCTCCCCAGCCCTAAGCAACCACTGATCTACTTTGTTTCTATAGACTTCCTTATTCTGTACTTTCATGTGCATGGAGTCATATCGTATGTGGTCTTTTGTGACTAGCTTCTTGCATTTTGCATACTGTTTTCAAGGTTTGTGCATGTTGTAGGTTGTATCAGAACTTCATTCCTTTTTAATCACTATATAATATTCCACTGTGTGGATCTAGCACATTTTGCTGTGGTCTGCTGCACTGATTCAGAGGCAGCATGGGTAGCCAGACCTGCGGCCGTGATCCAGCACTGCCACCTCCCAGCCATATGACCTTGGCCAAGTGATCTCACCTCTCTGAGCCTCAGCTTTCTTGTCTATATACTGGAGATAATAACACCCATCATGAAGGCTGTTTTGAGGATTAAGTCCTTTGCAAAAACTTGTTACGTACAGGGAATAATCAGCAGACGCTCTCATTACTGTGGTTGTTGAATGACTGGCATTGAAACTACAGCCAGCATTTTGTTTCTCTAGCTCAGAACTTCCCCCAAGGGAACACTGTAGGATTCCATCCTACATGATCATCCTCCGAACAAAGGTTCCATGATCAGATAGGTGTGGGAAATGCTGCAGATTATGTCCCTCTCTGGTAGATTCACAGTTTACGTTAGTGGAAACTTCCATTTCCTGCAGTTTGGCAGGCCACTATCCTGTCCACCTCTCCCACTGAAAACATGTAAAACTATGGATAAAACGTTTTTGTGGTGAAATATTTTATTTTATTTTATTTTGTTTATTTAGGGATGACCGGTAAGATGATCTTAACCCCTGACTTGGTGTTGTCAGCACCACACTAGGGATCTGAACCCATGGCCTTGGTGTTATCAGCACCACACTTTCCCAAGTGAGCCACAGGCTGGCCCTATGTGGTGAAATATTTTAAATGCATTGAAGAGCCAGCTGTAACCACAAAAGCCAAATATTTAGTGAAAATAGGAACTCTGAGTGATCAATTGAGCAGTAACCCTGGTTATTGCCCTATGGGCACGTGCTGACTTTCAGATGAACTTGAGCCTCTATTTTCACGGTCTCCAGAGCACTGGGGATCAGGGGACAAATCTGCAGACCACGAAGGTGGGAAGTCTAAAAGGAGATAAGCCACATAAAGCTGGAATCCCAGAGGGCTCCACCTGTAGAACAAGGTGAATGAGACATAAACCAAGTCCCTCCCTCTCTCTCCCTCCAGCAACTAGAAGGGAACTGTCTTATCAAAAACCTCAGTACTGAGTGAAGAAGAAAAAAAACTCCAATGAGAATCCAGAACTATAAGCCAGTCCTTACATGGTTTCTAAACCTGAATTCACTTATCTAAACATGAATTCAATTTTGTTTTTGTGGGTCATCTGAAAGACCTTCAGCTGATTGATACTTTAGCTTAAAATGATCTTGAGTTGGTAGTGTCCAGAAGCTTACTTGTTAAAGACACTACAAATTCCCTCTAGAAAAACCCACCTTCAACTCAGCCTTCGAAAGGATTCCCACAAATAAAATGCCCAGAATAAGAGCTCATAGTAATAAACAAAAAGCAACCACAAAATCCACAAAAAATACAAGGAAACAAAGCACCCTGAGCAAAAGGCAGCAGAATGAGACCAGCAAAGACTTCAGATATTGAAGTATCAGACCCAGGATATAAAATAATATGCTTATTATTATTAAATAAAAGAGGGAATTGGAAACACGAGTAAGGGGCAAGACACTATTAGAATGACCAAGTAGATATGAATGAGAATTAAATGTAATTTGTATAAAGGAAAAATTAAGAGTTGAAATTTTAAAACTATCAATGACTTTACTACCAGGTTATACACAGTTAAAGGTGGAATTGGTGAACTGGAGGTAGATCCAAAGAAAGTTTCCAGAGTGCAACACAGAAAGTCAAAGAGATGAAAATATGGGAGAGTGGTGAAGAGATATGGATAAAAAAATAGGTCTCACATATGGCTATTTGGAGATAGAGAGGGAGAGGAAGGAGACTAGAGTCAAGGCAATATTTGAAGAGACAGTGGATGAGAACTTGCCAGAACTGCTGAAAGACACAATGCACTTTATCAGCACCACTCTCTAACCAACACTTTAAATGGGCAAGAAGTCTGAAAAGTACAGAGGAGAAGCCATTTGAACTTGTTTAACCCAGTAAACAAGAAAACTATTCTGGTTTGACCATGGAACCCCTTCAGATAGAATAGCTATTACCACATCAGAGACACAGGTTTTCCCTCTGGGAAACTGCTTTGGGCCTTTGTTGGAGAGATCACCTCAGCAGCTTGGTTCTACTCTGTCCCCTCCCCGGACCCCTTCCCCCAATTCCTACAGAATTACGGGTCCAGATGAGGAGATTTGAGGAGCTGCTGCCCCAGGTGTGTTGGTTACTGACAGAGAATTTCAAGGAGTACCACTGGAAAAAGTTTTCTTCCTCCATGAAAGAGATGCAGGAACAGTTCGAGGAAAAGCAGAAGGAGTTGGAGAAAAGGAAGGTGAGGATCCCAGGACCAGCCCTTCTACTGTAGGACCAGGGGTCCTAGGAGTTCAGAAATGGAGGCAGGGCCACTCCAAGGGAAGGAGATGAACCAGGCTCAGGATTATTGGATGGGGGCCAAGGGACAGGAGACACTAGTGAGATAAGAACTGAGCCAACAGCTTCTCCATAGAAGGTGTTCAGTAAACTCCTTGCTGGATTTAATGGGTGGGTCTGCTGGGTTCACGGGAGCCTTGGTCATTGAGATCAACAATGATGGTCTACACTGTCCTTGGAGCTGTGGGACATGAATGCTGCTGCTCGTATTATACCAAAGCCCTGATTGTGCTGGGGCAGATGCTCAGCTCTCCCTCTCCCTCACCCTCAGGGTCGGCTCCAGCCATGTCCCCATCTTCCTCCCTCTGCCACTCACTCCTCTGCCCACCCATGGCCCCTCACACAACCAGGTCAGAGGACACATCAGTTTAGCCGTGGCTATAACTGACAGAAGATATAGGCCAGTGACTTTTTGATCCTGACCTCAAGATTGGGTCAAAATCCCCACTGAATTCTGAATTGTTTGATTGAAGGATGAAAATGCCCAGAAGCTCCATCCAAATCTTGGACACCCCACATATTTCCAAGAAATGGAGTCTCTACACACAGTGGAAGAAAAAAGACAGGAAGAGCTGGACAAATTGATTGGGATGAACAGGGAGAAGCTGGAGGTCAGTGGTGCCATTGGCTCCCCCGTCCAGGTGCTGAGGGCCACGCTGCCCTACAGAAAGGTGGCCCCAATGGTCAGCACTGGTGGTGCTGAGTGTGCCCTCTGCTGGCACCTTGGCCAAAGCAGGCATGAAGATGGGTGGGTTTTGTAGATGAAAATGGCCATTATTGGCTGTTTTAACTTGCATTTCTTTGATTTCCAAATTAATTACAAAATTACCAATGACAACTTTTTTTTTTTTTCACAATTTACATCTAGTTTTATTTATTTCCTCTTTGACGAATTGTCTGTGTGTGTCCCTTGGCCATTTCTGAATCATCTCCTCTCCTCAAGCCTCCTGACAGAGGACAGATGCCAGTTAACTCAGACACAGTTGGCACAATGGCTTTGGCCTCAGCCCCCCAGCTGGCTCCCCAAATCCTTCCTGCAGAGTCCACCCAGCCCCTCCCTCAGCCTGCCTCGGAGAGAAGTTCCTCTCCCTGCAGCACTGTGCTCTTCCTGTCTCTTCTAGGAATTCACCAGGAAGTACGGCCAGTTTTTCATAGCCAGCTTGGCTGCCTTCACTGAGAAATTCCTGCTGCAGCTGGATGAAATAGTCACCATTGACGATATCAAGGTTCCAAGTAAGTGGCACCACTAGCCTTGTGCCCTGGCCCTGGGGATGAGTGGTAGGTTGGGAATGGAGATGGCAAATGCCAGATGGATCAAAGATATATGCAATAAATAAAACCCTAATAGTAAATACTTTCGTACTCTTGGGGTTAGGGACACCTTTTCTAAGTATGACATGAAAGCCAGAAGCCATAGAGGAAACAGATGGCACTTCTTTGTGGCTAAAACAAAAATAGAAAAATGTCAAAAGATGGGAAGAGACAAACCACAAAGTGGAAGAGTATTCCTCATAACCTATGGGCTAGAGAAAGGTCAATATCTCTGTAGTACAGAGAACTTTCACAAGTCAAAATTTTAAAAAGAAACAAAGGGCAAACACACTTCAAAAGAGAAGCAATTCATATCACCAGTAACTGTAAAGGACGCTTGACCTCACCAGTGATATAAAATGCAAATAGAAACATGATTGAGATATCATTTTTCACCAAGAGCCTGGTAAAGTTTTTAAGATCGGTGACAACCAGCCCTGGTGAACATGCCAGGAAACAGAGGCACAACCAGAGGAATGTGAATCAATACTGTTCTACTGGAGCACGATTTGTTAATCCACGTCAAAATTCTGAATGTGTATACCTTTGACCTAGCAGTTCTGATCCTAGGAACTTATCCGACAGAAATACTGCACACTTTTTCAAAGATATATGTTAGAGAGTGCTCATCACAGCACCGTTTGAAAAGGCAAACAATTGGGAACACGAATGTCTGTATAGAGGGATTGCAGGCGTTAAGTGATGGTGCGGCTCCACGAGGGAATGCTGTGTCGCTGTTGAAGTGGGGTTGGTAGGTCTGCTGGTGCTCACGTGCAAAGACAGGAGGGGGGACCATTATGTGAAAAGACAAACTGACTAACAGGACGTGTCGATGATCCCATGTTTAGAATCACATGTATGGGGGACTGGCCAGTTAGCTCAGTTGGTTAGAGTGCAGTGTTGTAACACCAACGTCAAGGGTTTGGATCCCTGTACTTGCCAGCCACAATTAAAAAAAAAGAATTATATAAACATGCATACTCACATATTTAAATGAATCTGTGGGGGCCGGTCTGGTGGCACATTCAGTAGAGTGCGGCGCTTGGGAGCGCGGCGGCGCTCCCGCTGAGGGTTCGGATCCCATATAGAGATCGGTCCGCTCACTGGTTGAGCGCGGTACAGGCGCGACACCGAGGGTTGCGATCCCGTTACCAGTCACAAAAAAAGACAAAAAGGAAATAAAAAAGAATAATAATAAAAATAAATAAATAAGTGAATCTGTGTTAGAGATAGAGACAGCGAGAGACAGAGAGAACAAGAGAGACAGAACCTGAGAGAGAGGTACCAAACTACTGATGGTCACCTCTGCTGGGTAGGATTTGTGAGAGACCTCTAAAATCTTTTAGTTCCCACCATTAGGAGTGTTTAAATTTTTTATAATGTGCATATTACTTTTATAAGTATAAGAAGATTAAAATCATCCATTAAATGTAATCCATTTACCACTAATCTCTAATTAAAATACATTCTTTTTATTTTTAAAAGTTTTTATTACAAAGACAATAAATGTTCTTTACAGTAAAATAAGAAGCAAGAACATAGTCCTTCCACCCCGAAATCAGTGCCCTCTCACTTGCCATTCATCCTTTCAGCCCTTTCCCTTTGGGCATTGGCTGCATGTGTGTTGGGGCGGTGGCGGGAGGATCATAGGGCCAGTGCACTTTTGCAAGCTGATTTCCCTCTGGTGGACCTTGGCCAGGTCAGTGCCCTCCCCTGCACATTTTCAGTTGCTACACACCGTAATTTAGTAATTAGTCCCCTGCTGTTGAATGTTGGGTCATTTCCAACTTTTCACTTTTGTAATTGTGCTGAAGAGAATTTCCGCATCTATACATCTCTATTTGGGGGCATCAGACCCTTAGAAGTGCTGTTTCTGGGTCAAAATGTACACACATTTTGAGGTGTGGCCACTTTCTGATACAGGAGGTCCCTTTGTCAAGGACAAGCCTCGTTTGGGGAAGCAGGGCCTGCGGAGACACTGGGGTTGAGAACAAGCAGATGAGATGGCAGTGGAGCCAATGGTGGTGGCTTGCAGGAAACTGCTGAGCCGGGAAGACTCCCTGCACCAGGCCCCAGGAGGCCACCTCTGCTGGGTGGGCTCTGTGACTTGGCTGTGAGCCAAGCTGCCTGGCTAAGCCATCTGTGGCAGACAGGGTGCAGGTCAAGGCAGCTCCTGCTGGCTCTCACTCTAAGCAGGGAGCCCCTTCTCCCCACCAAGAAAACACATCCATTGTTGAGTCAGAGAGATGGACATTTGAGGGACAATCTTGAAGATGTCCCCAGGGACCTTCCAGGGAAGGTTTTTAGTTCAGAACCCCTATGAGCTATACCATAAGCCAAAGAAGGCCCCACAAAGCATATTTGGGGACTCGTGGAAGCTGAGAAGACCAGAGCATCCAGCTCAGGGTTTGCAGATGGAAACAGCACCCAAACCACTCCTCAGACTCCTCCAGCAATGACCCCCTGCCACTGCCACCGCCACCATCCCGTCTGCACATCTGCTACACTCAGCTTCTCTGTGGAGGAGGCTCTGCCTGCCACTGCAGGCTCCAAGTGGGGAGGAGGGTAGTGAGCCCTCATTTCTCTAAATGTCCCTTGATCTCAGGCTGTCGGTGAGACCATGGTCACTAACCTCTCTCTTGCTTGCCAGGTATGGAGCCCCCCAAGCAGAAAACATCAGTCCTCATACGGAGGAAACTCGCTGGGCTCTCACTGGAGGAAGAGAGCGAGAAGCCCCTGATAGAGCGTGGGAGCAGGTGAGAGCTAGCCGACAGCAGCAAGGACACACCATGACCGCTGTGTCTGCTGGGGAGGGGTGCAGTGTAATGGTCAGGCAGACCTGGTAACCTTGGAAAGGTGTTGTGCTCTGAGCCTCAGTTTCTTCATCTGTGAAATGGGCATGGCAGTTTACCTTACTTGGTATTAGGAAGAGAAAGTTAAATGAGGAGTGCCCCTGGCACATACCAAGAGCCCAACAACTATTAGTTCACAGGATAAGGACCCACCAAAGGGGGCTACAAAGAAAGAGAGGTCTGTCTCAGTGGGTGGCACATTCTTGGGTTGCAGGTGGCACTGTGAACCACTCCAGCTGTCTGTCATGTGTGACAGGAGCTGTCAAGTTCCTGTCCCTATGCTTCAAGAATGTGACTCTCCAAGATGCAGCAAAGTGGTGATTCGCCCAGCTATGTTCTCACCAGTGGCCTTTACAGCATAATAGGAAAAATGGGCCAGCCCGAGAGTCTCTGTACACTCTGATTACATAACAGTACGGAAATACAAAACAGAGAACTCCAAGAAGTTCATAACATCGAATGCTCAGTAGGATTTTTTTCTTTTAATTGAGATGTTTAAAGCCATGATGATTGCTAAGCTTTTCCAGTAAGGTTGGTGGGTGGACTAGGAATGATGAAACAAAGCCTGTAGGACTTTTCTCACACATTTGTTTGTAGGAAGTGGCCAGGAATCAAGCCCACTGATATCACCATCCAAAACAAGATTCTCCTCCAGAAAACATCCTCAGTAACCACCACCAAAACGACCCTGGGCCACCTGGCGGCCGTGGAAGCCCGAGATGCTGTGTACCTGGTGAGGCCGAGTGGGATGGGTGTGTCCCGGGGAGTGCAGGTTGCCTCAGTTTGGCTGCTTTTTGGGAAGGGGGGTGCTTCCCACCACTGGGAACCCTGACATTTGACCCATGGAGCAGAAGACACACATCAGTATGCCCCAGAGCTGCAGGTCTCAACACTCAGGACAGTCGATGTTCGTAGGTCATATCCAGTCTCAGTGCTAGCGTGGGTCAGGGTGTGAGCCCGGGTGCTGTGGGAGGCCGGCCAAGGGACACCCCACCCAGACTGGAGGTTAAGAAGGGCTTTCCAGAGGGACAGCAGAGTCAGAGCTAGGGAACATTGTAGACAGGTATGGAGGCAATGGTAACAGCATCTTCGCAGTGGAGGTCACGTAGCAGGAGCAGCTAACAGTTACTGAGTCCTCACAAGGAGCTTCTTCTGTTCTTGACAAGAGGCATCTCACTGAATTCTCCTAGCACCACTATGAGGAAGGTAGAATTATTGTCCCTGTTTCATTGATGAGGACACTGATGCTTAAAGAAACTTGTCCCCTCTGCCACTACAGAGTGGCAGAGCCAGGATTTGATCCTGGCACCTGTCAGACCCCTGTGGGGCCGGCCTGGTGAGGAGGCTGCACACAGATACCACCTGAGGGACCTCTCAGCTCTAAAGATCCATGGACCTTTGGTCCTGGGGCCCAGAAGAAACCTCGTCCTGCCCGATCGTGGTATTGGGAGAGCCTGAGGTACCCAGGGCCAGTCCTTCCCCAGCTGCCACTCTAAGCCCCAGGCAGAGGGAGGCTCTGCTTGCTGAGTTTGGTGAGGGCTTGAGGTCTGAAGGGCTCAGCCTCTCTCTAGCTGGGTGACCCCAGGCAAGGCTCTGAGTCTCAGTTTCCCCATCTGTAAAATGAGGAAAATAGAGGGAGGCTCTGCTTGCTGAGTTTGGTGAGGGCTTGAGGTCTGAAGGGCTCAGCCTCTCTGTAGCTGGGTGACCCCAGGCAAGGCTCTGAGTCTCAGTTTCCCCATCTGTAAAATGAGGAAAATAACTGGACCTACCTGTTGGGTTATTTGAGAAACGGCTTGTGGAACTCTTGCCAGTGCCTACAGTAGGTTAGGAGCCACCTGCCAGCAGGTTTCAGGATTCCCCCAGGGAAGAGAGTTCAGAGGTGCCTCCTCACGTGGCCTCCTCCCACTACCTTGCTCCCAGAAATATTTAGCATCATTTGAGGAGGAGATGAAAAAGATCCAGGACCACGCCACGTTGCAGGTGAAGGAGGCTCAGCGCTGGAAGGACAGCTGGAGGCGCTCCCTGCACACCATCCAGGGCCTGTACTTGTGACACCCCCCACCCCACCCCAAATAAAGGCTTGTTTTGTACAGACTCCTTCTGTATCTATCTGTCTATATATCTACTATCCATCCATTAGTCCATCTCTGCTCTTTGCCAAGCACTGTAGCTTCATCAGTGAGCAGAACATGATGTGGTACCTGCCCACGTGCAACTCATTTCCAATGAGGAAGACAAACATGGAAGGGGAGTCCATGTGGTTAGCAGGGATGGTGGGTTCCAGGAATCCAGTTACTCATAATAGACACCGAGACTTCAAAGGAAATAACCTCTAAAAGGCATGTTTGACTTCATTTTTTAAAATGAAATAATTAAAAGTTATGGGAAAATTATATTTTATATTTAACAAATGTGGGTTATAATTGCAACTATGAGCTGATTTCTAGATCCAACAAAGAGTTAATCTGGTATCGATCAGTATCTGTGACATAATTTGTCTGACCAAGTTATAGCATTTTGGCAAAAACCTTCTAGGCCCCCTTAACTTTCCTGAGGGCCTCTTTAATCCTGCGATACTCAGGTCATTCTCTTTTAGCCTCCATCATTTCTGTCAATTTTCTCTTCTTCAATTGCCAGGTGGCCTAACCACGCAGGTCTTATTCGTCAGTAGCTTTCTGTGTCATGTGGACAGGCTGCTCAGATTCCTTCCTTGTTTCATGAACTCCTGGTGTTTTTCACTGTTTGCATTTTGCTTTTGCATCTGTTACATTTTCATGTGCTTTATCTCTTTTAATGACCTCACGAGGTAGGCTTTTGCCCCCATGGCAAGGAAGCTCTAATCAGAAGGTCAGGATGACCTGCTCAAAGCTACACAGCTAGTGTAGAACTTTGGCCAATTTTTGGATTCCCCAAAAGCAGACTAGGACTTGGGGGCAAGTCGTTTGTTTTGGAGATGACCCCAAGAAGCACGAGTGAGGGCCCTCCTTGAGCCTGCTAGGGGTGGTAGATACGAGGGTGGTTAGGGACTGGGCACCCAGCACAGCCTGACAGGGCCCACAAACAGTGGCAGAGCCAGGAAGCAGAGAAAGCCACAGACATGGGAGACCCCAGCCAGCCCCTCACTGCTGTGTGACCCCGAGCCAAGTTCCTCACCTGTCTGATGGGGACACTAACCCCATTCTCTTGGCCTTTCCAAACACAGAAGAGATGCCACTGCTTTTAGAGAAGCTTCAGCCCCAAAGTCTTCCAAATTGTAGTCCGCCTCACACTCTGGCTCTGCCTTGACGTGCTCCCTGCTCAGCTGTGCCAGGAGAAGGTGGACATGGCACTCCAAGATGAGCCTGGACTCCCGCACCCCACCCCATACACACACCCTGGGAACCCCTGAGGTCTCAAGAGGCACAGCTCCACAAGGACCTAAGGAACCCAGCACCACTTTTTCTACCTTTTGGCTACTACGCAGCCGAACAATAGTGCTGCTGTGAACATTCATGGACAAGTTTTTGTGTGGATGCATATTTTTATTTCTCTTGAGTGTATACCTAGGAGTAGAATTGATAAGTCAAAAAGTAACTCTATGTTTAACTTTTGGAGGAACTGCCAGATTGTTTTTCAAAGCAGCTGCACCATTTTACATCACATGTACGAAGGCTCTGAATGTACAAGCGTGTCACTATGTGACTTGTTATGACAGCCATCCCAGCGAGAGTGAAGTGGTATCTCATAATGGTTTTAATATGCATTTTTTGGATGACCAATGATGTCGAGCATCTTTTCATGTGCTTATTGGCCATATGTATATCTTCTCTGGGGAAATATCTACTCAAGTCCTTTGTCCATTACCTGATTGGACGGCTTATCTTTTTATTATTGAATTGTAAGAGTTCTTTATATATTCTGGATACCAGACCCTTCTTCGACATATGATTTGCAAATATATCCTTCCATCTGTAGGTTGTCTTTTCACTTTCTTGATAGTGTCTTTTGATGTGCAAAAGTTTTTAGCTTTGAGCAAGTCCAATTTATCTATTCTTTCTCGGGTTGCTTGTGCTTTTGGTGTCATATCTGAGACTCCATTGCCTTTGTCTGAGGGGATTAACCCTGCATTGCCTGAGGGAACAGTAATGGCCTCCCCCAAGGTAGTTACCATGAACAATGCTGATTCTCTCCAAGACCCATCCCACCCATCCCTCTTTATTTTGAGACCTATAACTAGTCTTAAGTCCCAGCAAACCCCTGAGGTGCAGCTCAAAGTGTGATCCATGAGGAGGTGCAGTACGCTCCGAAGGAACTACCACCTGGTCCACTATTCCTGCCAGATCATGGGAGGATGCATCCAGACCTAGAGGTGGCCGGGAGGGCATCCCATCTGATGTCCTGTGGACCTGACCTGCTTATGATGTCTAGTATGACGGTCTGACTCCCCAACCATAATTGAGGCCCAGGGATTACTGTCTGCCTTGCTCCTTGAATTTTGTTTGTTCTCTAGAAAAGTGCCTGCAAATAGTAGGCGCTAATTTATTTGTTGGATGAATAAACCCCAACCAGAACTTTCTCAGATATCTGAGTCAGCCTGGGCCTCCTCTGCCAGCCCCAATGATCCCATTTCTGGCTACACCAAAGACAAGGACCAGATACATAGAATCTCAGACCTCCTTCACAAATGGGAAACCAAGTTTGCTTTCCATGTTTTTCCAAATACAGAAAGGCTACAGGCCAATGATGGGGGAGGCAGAGAGCTACATCATGTTTAGAACATAATTAACAACCATAGCACATCTACAAGCCCTTTCTACTGTGCCAGGCACCAGGTCAGCACCTGCCGTGGCTTAACCCACTTAGTCCCTTCAGTAATCATATGAGGTTCATACTCTTATCACTCTATTTTTTTGAGGAGATAACTGAGGCTCAGAGAGGTGCAGTGACATTCTTAAGACACACAGCCAGTTGGTGGTAGAGTCCCCACTGTGGTGTGGAAGGGGCAGGCTCATTGAACATCTGGTCCAGAAAATGTTGGGTGGTGGTGAAGGCCCAGTAGGTACACAGAAAGGTGGTGATGTAGGAGATGTTTCTACACTGGAAGGCTGATACCAGGGACTCCACCAGCTTCTCCTGAGTGCCTGCCTGGAGGGTCTGCATCATGCAGATCTCACCCAGGTTCAAGGTCAACTCATTTTCACATTGGGAGGAATAATGAGGGACACAAAGTGAGAGGCTGCACCGTAAATCACCAGGAGGACCAGGATCTGGAGCACAGATCAGGAACTCCTAAATCCATACGGACGTGTGCAAGAGGAGAGATATGACTGCCCACAGCAAGTGCGCTCCCAAGTGCCGCACTCTACCGAGTGCGCCACCGGGCCGGTCCCAGGAGACAGTTTATAGGGAGACCGATTGCTATGATTTGAATGTTTGTCCCCTCCAAAACTCATATTGAAATTTAATTGCCATTGTGGCAGTATTGGGAGGTGGGACCTTTAATAGGTGTTTAGGTCATGAGAGCTCCAATATCATGAATGGATTAATACCATTATCACAGGAGTGGGTTCACCCCCTCTTGCTCTCTCTCTTACAGCAAGAAGGCCCTCGCAAGATGCCAGCACCTTGACTTTGGACTTCCCAGCCTCCAGATCTGTGAAAAATAAATTTCTGTTAATTATACATTACCCAGTCTGTGGTATTCTGTCATGGCAGCACAAAAAAAACCTAAGACACCCATCCTAGGACAACCCTTTAGACTTCAAAGCAAGGCACTTATTTTTCTTTTTTCACAGTAAAGGTTTTGAGAGCCAGAGCTATAAGGATTCCAGGTCCAGCAAAGGTGCAAATGCTTAGAGATTTCAGGGTGGGAGACAGACCCTCACAAGAACAAGGATCTGAGCAGACCACTCAGGGAAGAGAGAATTCAAATGGCTAGTAAACAACTGACAGTCGACTCAAACATATCAGTGGGGAATTGAAAAGCAAAGGAACCATACCATTCCATTTTTCACCCTGACACCAGGTTGGCACCACGCTCTCCCAAGTGAGCCAACCAGCCATCCCTACATAGTGATCTGAACCTGTGGCCTTGGTGTTATCAGCACCACACTCTCCCAAGTGAGCCAACCAGCCATCCCTACATAGTGATCTGAACCTGTGGCCTTGGTGTTATCAGCACCACACTCTCCCAAGTGAGCCACAGGCCGGCCCTGAGGTTGGCAAAAATTTAAAGGAATGATACCACCCAGTGCCATGCTAGATGCAGGGAAGCAGCCATCATCAGAGACGGTTGTTAGCAACATAACCAATATATAGCCGTTTTGGAAAGTAACATGGCTGCATCTATTAAAATTTTACATATGCATATCCTTCCACAAGCAATCTCATACCTGGAATCTATCTTCTATAGGGGATAAGTATATGGTATGGGCTGAATGTGTCTTCCCAAAATTCACATGTGATTTCCCAGTAGCTCAGAATGTGACCATATTTGGAGATGTGGTCTTTAAAGAGGCCATTAATGTTAAGTGAGTTCACTAGTGGGCCCCAATCCAGTCTGTCCTCATTAGAAGAGGAGATGAGGATGCAGAGAAGCACAGAGGGAAGGCCATCTGAACACAGAGACAGAAGGCAGCCATCCAAAAGCCACGAGAGAGGCCTCAGAAGAAACCAACTGTATTAGTCCATTTGTGTTGCTATAACAGAAATACCAGAGACTGGGTAATTTATAAAGAACAGAGGTTTATTTGGCTTATGATTCTGGGACAGCTGCATCTGGCATGGGCCTCAGGCTGCTTCTACTCATGGAGGAAAATGGCAGGCAGTTGGCAGGTACAAGCAGATCACATGGCGAGAGGAAGCAAGAGAGAGAGAGAGGAGGTGCCAGGGTCCTTTAAACAATCAGCTCTTGCGGGAACTAATAGAGCAAGAACCCATTCATTAATCCCCCCTCTCCCAGGGAGAGCATTAATCCATTCATGAGGGATCTGCCCCCATGACTCAATCAGTTTCTAACACTGCCACATTGGGGATCAAATTTCCACATGAGTTTTGGAGGGGACAACACATCCAAACTCCATCACCTACCCTGCCAGCACCTTGGTCTTGGAATTC